CTTCCTTTTGGCCTAAATCTTATTCTCTTCAACGTTCCTGGTTCAGCCATTTGGGGGCAGCCAGAATAAATCTAACCCCCTCCCATATGACATCTCTTTAAGGATTTGAGAAGAGCTATGATCTCTACATTTCCCCACTCCCCACTTTAATTTACTTTTTTTTCAAACTACACATCTGCAGTTTCTTCCACCAGTCTTCATATAGCATGATCTCAAAGCCCTTTATCATTTTGTTCACCTTTCTCTGGACATGCTGTAGTAATATCCTTTCTAAAATGTCATATCTAGTACTTGACATTATATTTCTCATGTGGTTTGACAAGAGCAGAACACAGGAGTATTGTCACCACCCTAGACCATCTGCTTGTCTTGGGCAGCCTGTGATTACGCTTGCTTTTTTGGTAACTACGTCACACCACTGGCTCAACTTGAACTTGTGCTCTGCTAAAAGGGTTTTCATTTCATCTGGGAACTAAAAACTGCTATGGTATGAAATGGACAGTATCTAAAATAAAGTGGAAATACATCAGAAGAGTGGTTTAAGTATTTAGGTCTCTATTGGCTAATGACATAAAATAAAATAAGAGTAACATAAAATAAAATCTTGCTCTTCCAAACCTGCATCTTATTAGGGGAAAAATGGCTGCTTCAGGTTGCTTCTTTATGAGCTAACTTCCCAAATGACCAAAATATCAGATGAGGAAAGTTACACCTGATGTGTATCTTTCACAACATAATATTATTTCCAAACATTTTTCTGAATTACGAGGTTTTCATAGATTTGCGCTGGAAGGGACTTAGTCGTCACCTCAGGGAACACCATCATTCTATAGATAAGGAAACTAATGCCCAGAGAAGTTATAAGAAAAGTCATGAAAGCAAGTAGCAGATCCAGGCATTAAAGCCATGATTCTAAATGTGGTGTTCTTTTCACTACATCAATATTGCCTCCCATTTTGTGGAGGATAAGAATAGACCAGAAAGAAGAGGGCACAGATAGACTTGTAAGTGAAGAGAGGATAAAAGCAAGGAATTCACTTGAGCACAAGCAATATTTAATGTCCTTAAAACATCTGAATCTAAATGTTAGATTACATGTCCTTTATTATCAAGTAGACTAAAGACTGCGAAAAATGGCTTTTCTTACTAATCATTATCTTGGAGATTCAGAGCTTCCCACCAGCCCCTTTTTTCCAAAATTCAGTTTACTGATAGTAAGACTTGAATTGAGTCTTATCCTGGTCAAACCCCAACCAAAGCCTGAACTGATTTAATCAAAGGTATGGAAGCTCCATTGTGTTCTGCTCAGGCTTAGGTGGAGACAAATTCTTCTGCCTAGATAGCCCTGGGAGTGGCTGGTATGGTTGGAGGGTGGTTTAATAGAAGAGGGATTTCCTCTGTCTCAAGGTAAAACAATGATGAGGTAATATCAGCCACTGTTGAAAAGGTATATAAACTGGGCACCCCAAACCCCAAGTCAAGCCAGTTCTGGACTGGCTCCCTTGGGGGAGCTCAGTTCTGGACTATAACTCCCATGTAATGCATATATGTCTCCAGCTTGGGAGAAATTAAAAACGTGGACACAACGTAATTTCATTTGTCTTTTCTTAGAACAAACTCTGGTATGGTTGACAAGACCTAGCCAATGGCATGGGAAACTCCTAAAAAAAAAAACAGGTGGAGGGGCATCAGACAACTAGAACTTTGAATATGTTCCTGATTTTACTATACAGTGTCCAAAAGATGGATAAATATATTTGGGAAAGTAACTATTTATGATTTTAAAAATCAACAGATTTTTTTTTTTAGACTCAGGCACCTGGGTACATTCCCTACCTCCCTCTAAAGTTTGCATTAGCAGCACTGCTGCAAACAGAAGATGATTCAATTAGAGAACTTGCAGCTATTTAGTTTGAATCTCAGACAGATGTCAGGCAGATGTTGGAGTCAGTCCAAATGATAAGTAAATGCTTAGGATTCAGGTATAAGTAGAGAGCAAATTTGGACAGCATGAAGAAAGACTGTGGGGTTGTCAAAAGGCCACTAGACTTGGAATCATAAAATTGAGTTTACCATTATCTAGCTATGTGGTCCTGGGCTTAACTTTGATGTCACTGGGTCTCAATTTCCTTCTCCATAAAATGAGGTGTTTTGGACTTAGTGAGCTCTTAGTTGTGAGTATTATTTCATTCCAGCTAAGAATCTATGAATGCTTGGAAAGCAATTTTGATATTATGCCAAGAAAATGATTAAATATACATGTCTAGAGAACTCACAGCTAGGCATAACCTAAGGAAGTCAATGATGGAAAGGAAAGCTTATACACACACCAAAATATTTCCAGCAGCATTTTTGTAGTAGGAAAGAACTAGAAACAAAAGGGAAGGTAATAAGTATTTATTAAGTGCCAAGGACTATGCTAAATGCTTTACAAATCTTATTTCATTTAATCTCCATGACAACTCTGAGAAGAAGGTGCTATTATTATCCCCATTTTACAACTGAGGAAACTGAGGCAGACAGAGGTTAAATGACTTACGGCTGGATTTGAACTTAAGTCTTTCTAACTCCAGTCTATATACAGTTCTACCTGGCAACCATGTAAGAAGCAATGAAAGAAAAGGAAAGGATGCTAAGGGTTATTCTTCGGGAGAACTTGCTTATAACTAGGGCATGACATTTGTTTCAAAAAGATTCTAAGACAGATTTTAATAAAGAAGCCTGTCTGCTGACACAAAACGGATGGGGCAAATGCAAAAGATTCACAATTCATTTCTTCCTTCCTCTTCAGCCCTACCCACAGTTTCCTCAGTATGCCCCAGTCTGGGCACCCTTCTCACCCCACCTCCTTTCTAGCACTCCTTCACATGTGGTCTCCCCTCATTAGAAGGTAAGCTTCTTCAGGGTAGGGATTGTCCTGTTTGCTTTCATCTGTGTGTCCAGTGCTTAGCACTTGCCTGGAATATAAGCCGTAGTAAATATCTGTCTGTCTGTCTAAAATTTATTTACTCTTCATCTTTATTCTCCTTCTCTGCTAGGATTCAAACTCATTGGACTCCAAAACCAATGCTCTCTCTGTAATACCACTATGTCTCTTCCAGAGGATAAGAATAAACAAAACAATAAAATGAAAGAGTTCTATGAAGAGGATGATGACACATGGCAGAACCAAGCAGGTGGTAACAGTTTTCAAAAGTCAGGTCCAGACAATTGCCCTGGAAAATGTCATCAGGTGTCCTGCTTTGCAGGTGAGCAAACTGCCCCAAAGCGGATTTCAAATGTATGGAGTTGAAGACCCACTCTCATGAAACATCAGAAAGCATAAAAACTACTTGACCTAGTTCAAGGAAGTACTCTGAGCTTAAACTAGATGATTTACTGAGTGTGGGGCTCTACATCTCCTCTCTGTGTATTTGAGCCATCGATCTATCCCCACCATAGCATCTCATGCTTTTCGACTCCATAGTAAAGGCAGTCCTTCCATTCTGTTACCTCTACCTCATGGCAGGTCAAATTCATTATAGCTGAGCCACCTATAAGCAGGTACTGGTTTGCTAATCCAGCCTTGCTTTTAAAAGATGAACCTTATTTTTGCACTCTCCCCCATTTGTATGTGCCATCCCTTTCCAGACTGTCCTTACCACGCTTCAGCACCACCACGCTAGGCACTAAGGATACAACAGTAAGAGTTAAGCAATCCCTATCCCTTAAGGAGTTTATATGCTACCTAAAGGGAAAGCATATGTTCATAAATCAAATAAAAATAGGAGAGGGCCTAAACCATGCACAGTGATCGGGGAGGGAGCTGGTGCACTAAAATGGGGTACCAGGGAGAATCAGAAAAGGTCTATTGATTGATTTTATGCCTTCGGGCTATTGTGTTTCCAGAGGGTTCCAATAAAAATATAACACATAGATATACATACAGATAGAGCAACATAGAGCTAGAGTTATATAGATTAGCATCTATAGACAGATTTTTAAAAATTAAATTATTTTTAAAAAAATTAACAGATATCTATTTTATCTCCTTCCTCATACCATTGGGGGGGGAATCTATCTCTATATAGATGTAGATAACTATACAAATGTAGATAACTATCTCTATCTCTATATTTATGGGGATAGATATAGATATAACAGACAATAGAGATAGATATAGAAATATACATATATAAATACACGTATGTATTTCTATGTATGCATGAATAAGCATGTACATATGTATGTATGCATACATATACATATATATGATAAATGCTTGTCTGATTGATGACTCTCATAGAGACAGTTTAGACTATTTTTTTTAAACTGCCTCTATGAGAGAAGCATTTATTAATGCTGACAAGCATTCATTAAGCACCTACTATGTGCTGAATATGTACTACACTAAGCACTGAGGATACAATGAAAGGCAAAAAACAATTTCTGCTTTCCAGGAATTTACAGTTTAATTGGGGAAGACAACAGGCAAACAACTATTCACAAATGACATATATATATAACAAATTCCTCAGAAGAAAGAGCTAAGGTTGAAGACCGGGTCCCAGGGATATATGAAGGAATTGGCTCCAAGGTCAGTTACTACATTTTCAGTGCGAGCATTTATTTACACCTCAGAAATTGACAAATGTTACAAATCAGGGCTTAATTTATTGTTTAGTGATTGCTTGGAATTAAGAAAAACATTAATAATTAAATTTTAGTTTAAGATGTGTCATGGGTATCAGTTTCCTCATCTGTAAAATGGGTAAAGTAGGCTTTCTCTGTGTGTGTGTGTGTGTGTGTGTGTGTGTGTGTGTGTGCGCGCGCGTGCACGTGCGCGTGCGTGTGTATGAGATGGTTGTTAACATATGTTAGCATATTCCTGACTAGGAAAGGCTTCTTGCAAAAGGCGATCCTTGAGCTGAGATTTGAAGGAAGTCATGGAGGGTTAGGAGGGAAAGAAGATAGTAATCACTGGGATTTAAGGGGTGGAAATAGGCACTAGAAGCACTCACCAAATGTAACGTGTCTGCTTTTTGTGTCTGCCTTTGTCGACTCTTCTGAGCTGCAATACGGTTTTTCTCCCTTCTCTGAACTTTCCTCACGTCATCTGAGGAATCCTGAAACATAGAGAAGGCAGCAATGGGTCATTCCTTCCTGGTTACTTTGGCCTCTCTGCATTCACTCATCTGATGAACACCTACTGCATCCCTAGTACTTTTCCCAGTCCTAGACTGAGGATCCTGCCCCTCTTTCTATGGAATTCCCACTGCTAGGTTAATATGATAACATTATTTATTTATTTATTTATTTTTAATTTTTTTTTTCCATATGCTTTTGAGTTGAAAATTTTTTCTCCCTTTTTCTGCCCCCTCCCACCCTCCCCAAGACGGCGCACAATCTGACATAGGCTTTACATTTACATACCCATTAAACATATTTTCACATTAGTGAAGTTGTAAGTAAAAATTAAAACCAATAGGAGGAACCACCAGAAAGATGAAACAAAATTCAACTTCAGGTGAGAGCGATTCGACTTCCATCTTTCTTTCTTTGGATGTGGACAGCATTTTCCATCCCAAATCCTCTGGAGATGTCTTAGATCCTCATAATGCTGAGAAGGGTTCAGTTTAACATTCTTAGTCATTGCATAACGTGGCTGCTATTGTATACAAAGTCCTCTGGGTTCTGCTCACTTCACTCAGCATCAGACCATATAAGTCTTCCCAGGTTTTTCTGAAGTCAGCCTGTTCATCATTTCTTATAGAACAATAGTATTCCATTACATTCATATACCACAGCTTGCTCAGCCATTCCCCAATTGATGGGCATCCTCTCAATTTCCAATTCGATAATATAATTTTTAAAAATGCCCTTTGCAAACCCTAACATGTATAAGTAGAAATGTCTTCTATTAAAATATGTGTGTATGTATGTGTATGTATGTGTGTGTGTATATACATACATATATATATATGAATGTCTTGAATTATTATCAAGTGGTTTCTCTCATTTGCGATTTACCTAGAATAAGTCAACTAAGATTTCACACACACACACACACACACACACACACACACATATACTCATACATATATAGAGGAATGTCTTGAATTATCATCAAGTGGTTTCTCTCATTTGCGATTTACCTAGCATAAGTCACTAAGATTTGACACACTCCTTTGGGCTGGTCTGGGCAAAATTGCTAAGGTTGTCCCTGAAAGCCCCTGGCCTTCCTTTTGCTGTGCTTTTCCATATTTGTCTTCCCACCCCCGGTTCCTGATGCCTTCGATTTTACTCAGGACTTCCCGCTTGTGTGCTCTGTTTCTGATCTCCAGGGGCAGAATCCCAGGTTCCAAATCTCTTTCATCATTACCCCACCTCTCCCATCAAAATGAACATGCTTTGTATTCTGAAGTGTTACTGTATTTATGGGTGCTAATGGCTGAATAAATTAATCTTTCCTAGATAATGTACGTCACATGGCCCAGAACAGGGCATAAGATTTGGAGGTAGATCCGGGTTTGAATCTCAGCTCTACAATATGGTCTCATACAAGTCATTTAAACTCTTTGGAACTCAGTTTCCTCATCTGTAAAATGGGTTAAGCAGGCCAGGGATGGTGGTGCACGTCTACCTGCTACTGTAGAGTCTGAGACTAGCAGATAGCTTGACATTGCTAGTTCTGAGTTGCAGTGGGAGAAGAAATTGGATGTTTGCACTATGTCCCCCACCGATATAATGAGTCTCTGGAAGCAGAGAACTGTCAGGCTGCCTCAGTCAGAAATAAAGCAGATCAATGATCAAAGCAGGGTTACCCCACCACCGCAATGGAGCATCAGTGTAGGACTTTTGTGAAGTCCATATTTTACTAGCGGAGAAACCTGAAGTCCAAAGAAAAGTAACTAGCTCAGGTCACTCAGAGCCAATAAGCAATAGGGCCAGAATTGGAACCCAATTCTTTTAACTAGACTCCTTCCATTAAGACAGATCTTCTATCTATCCTTTTTCTACTAGGATACATCCCCTTCCAGAGATGGTAGTGGGACCCCATACTCTATGCTGTACCCTATAGACAGAGGGACACACGATATGAGAAGGAACGTTGTTATTACAGAGTAAAAGGCGGAGAGAACAATCTCATTATTACAGTACCAGCCTATTTCGATGCCTGTGGATTTAGGAATAAACAAGATATACAGAACAAAGTTAGGTTTAAATTATTTTAATTTTAATTTTAATTAATTTAATTATTTAATTAAAATTAATTTAATTTAAACTATATTAAATTTAAAAGATTTTGTACAAATAAAACAAATGTAGCCAAGATCAAAAGGAAAGCAGAAAATTGGGGGGGAAATTTTTATAGGCCATTTCTCAGGTAGAGACCTTCCAAATACTTCTCAGAAAAGTGAAGCAAGAGGATTCAGGTCAGATAGGAAGAGAAGCTTCCTTTCTCTAAACGGTACAGAGATAGGGACTGGACTTGTGATTTCATTGGTACAGAGAACTATCAGATAAGGAAACTCCCTCTACCACTGCAAGTCAGCATCTGTTCTGCAACCTCCAGTCTTAGAGAGACGCCTGAGGTTAATTGATTTGCCTAGGGTCTTCTAGCCAATAGGTATCAGAGGAAAGACTCAAACCTAGGTCTTCATAGCTCTGAGACTATCTCCACTCTGGTATGATGACTCTCAAAGGGTATGTGGCATTATTTTGTGTTTTCCAGAACGAGAGTAGAACTCCCCAAACCTCTACTCCTAAGATATTTAAAAATAGAACCCACACATTCCTCAGTGGATGGGGTGCACAGGCACAGCCCTGCCTAAAGGGATATAGACACAGATCTCCAGGTAGGTCCCTGAGATATCCAAGAACCTGCTTTTTAAAAATTATAATATGATAATAATTATAACAATTCACACATATTAAATTTTAAGGTTTACAAAGCACTTTCCTTGCACAAGTCTGGTGAGGTAAGGACTGCAAGTGTATGACCATTTTACAGATGAAGAAACTGAGGTTCAGGCCAGTTACCTTCCTTGCCTAAATTACACAGCCAATGTCAAAGCCAGGATTTTTGGCTGGCTCCAGGTTCAGCATGCATGTATACACAAAATAAGTATATGCTATGCTACTATCTCCTAAAGTAGTGAAGAAAATGTTTTCTAGTCCTCAAATCACCACATAAATGTAAGTTATTTTTATCATATGCCGATAGACACAAAATATGGAAAGTTCACTCAACCGCCTCCCCAAACACAATGCTAATAAAATATGTTTTTAAATCATAAGAGTAGAAAAAAGAATTAAAAATAATTGTATTACAGGTGGTTAACTAGGCCAGCACCATCCTCCTTTACAGACAAACAGTCAGGGGATATGGTGAGCAGGCAGGTTCAGGATAGGAGAGCTTCAGTTCTTAAAGTATGACCTGTCAGAAAACCAGAAGCTTCTGGCCAATCTCCCAGTACTGGAGGTGAGCCATCTGAAGCATCTCCCTTCAAACTCTCTAGAATCCTCCCCCACACCTTTCCCACACCTCCCAACCTAGTCCTATCCAATGGGGTAGGGGAATTCCAGCAGCCTCTTCCTCCCCACCAATGGCAGGCCACCTCCTCATAATGCTCCTTCAGAACTCCGCAGACCAGAAGCCCTCATCATCCATTGCCTTTCCCTCGGCTCAATGGACTTTATTTGGGTTTTTAGTTGCTTTTTGGGTTTTTTTGCTTGTGTCCAATTTATGTCCTCTTGGATCACCCCTGTTTCATGATCTGACATGTGTTCCAGTGTAAGCTTCAGTTCAACAGCCCACAATAGGGTAGTACGGTGGAAAGCACACTGGACATTGGGTCAGAAGGCCTAGCCCTGACTGCTACTTTCTAGGCCTGTAATCATGGGTCATCAAGACCCTTAAATGCTCTGAGTCCCAATTTCCTCTTCTGCAAAATGGGGCTAATAATAATGCTTGAGCGAAGCAAGGAACAAGTCAAGAGCCGGCCTTGGAATCAGGAAGACCTGGTCTCACACTTATTCGATGTGCCACCCCAGGTGAGGCATTCAGTTTCTCAGTGCCGCCTGGCAGCTCTCTAAAGAGTTGCTAGTCTGCATGAAATCATACAACCAGATCTAAAAAATAAAACTGAAAAGAATGCTTATATTGCCTACTTCATAGGATTATTATAAGAAAAGCACTCTGTGAGACTCAAATATGATATTCATGTAAGCTGCTATTATTAGCAAATGAGATGATTATAAAGGACTTAGCACAGTCTCTGGCACATAGCAGGCACTATATAAATAATAGCTATTTAAAAAATCATCATTAGTAGCCATAGCTTACATTTAACTCCCCCTATTAAGACTAAACTTTTCACAGCATAAAAGGGTCTTTTCCCTCTGACTAGACCAAAATACTTTCATTCACCATCTCTTCATTCATTCTCTTTCTTTCCTAGAAAGCTTTATGGGGCAGGGACCATGAGGGTGTTAGGAGGGAGTTGAAAGGAGAGGGACACAGTGGTAAAGAGATGAGTCAATGGTCTCTGTGCCAAATGCCTCTGGGAAACCCAATCCCAAGTTCAAAGAACTCAGATGAGGCTACTTGGCTTATCCTCTGTTCTTGACCACGAGCCCTCTGCCTAATGGTTTCCAGACAGCCGCCTGAGAGGTTCTACCAGGAAGAGAAGGCCTAAGGGTGGGAGTCAGGGTGGGTGATGGGGGAAGAGAAGAGAAACTTTACCTGTTTATTGCTGGGTGGGGGTGAGCGGCTGAAGCTGGAGTCGCTGCTGTCAGAACTATGGGGCATGGCTGAAGTCTCCAGGGGTTGGGCAAGTTTCATCCGCTTCCCTTCAGGCCCCGTGTTCTTCTGGCTCTCTAGACACCAAGTAGCCTTTCTCTAACGCTCACTAGGTCACCAGCCCACCACCTTCCTTGGAGTCTTCTTTCTTGCCCACCATGCACCTCTGGAGCCCAAGGTCCTCTTCTCTCTGTGGCCTGGAGACACTGCACCTAGCAGTGACATAGTCGCTCACTTTTTGGGGCTTGCTTTCTCACTTGTGGTTTCTGGTAAAAAAAATAATAATGGAGAGCTCAAGCTGGAAGTCACATGGGCGGAAACTTAAGTGAACTACAAGTTACACTGATGGGCGAGAGAGAGAAAAAAAACATATCGGGGAAAAGACCTTTAAAATAATCTGAAAATGAGAAGAAGAAAAAAAAACCCAGATACCTTCAGACAGTTCAAAAGGCAGAGAAACTGGTTTCAACTGAAAATGATAAAAGAAAAAAAAAATGAGGAGGGAAAGTCACCAAACAGTTCTAAGAGTCTTCTCTCAAAATAGGGAAAGAGGTATGGACACTAGGGAAATAGTTGCCATTGTCACACAATTTGACTTTAAGCCAAAATAAAACAGCAATACTAGGGTTTCATTTTTATTTTCCTTCATAAATAACCTTCAGCAACCAGAGACCTGGTATAGACACTGCAACCATGTAAGAGGCAAAGTGAGTGAAAATGAATGGGTAGAAAATCCAACCTCAGGATTTAGAGGAAAATTAGGATACTGTAAGCAGTAATTAACATCGATGCAAATAAACTATTTAACGTAGTAGGTACTTAATTAGCATTTATGGATTGTTTTTAAAAGAAGTACTTACAAATATTTCTTTTTTTTTAATTTTTTTTTTGGGGGGGCTAGACAATGGGGTTAAGTGACTTGCCAGCTAGTAAGCATTATGTGTCTGAGGCCACATTTGAACTCAGGTCCTCCTGAATCCAGGGCCAGTACTCTATCCACTGTGCCACCTAGCTGCCCCCCCTTACAAATATTTCTTTTTAAAGTTGAGGAAAAGAAATAAAATCCAAGCTCTGATCTAAATGGACACAGAATTCCGACTCCTCTAATAATGTGCTCACTTACTTTTCCAATATTAGAAAAGATCCCAACAGTATCTTCCGAGAAAAGCAGCTATCTTATATTGAACTGAGACTCTGAAGCCAAATTCCCTGTGATGTATCTGGTCAATGCATCTCCTCAAAGGAAGAGCCCAAAATGAAGAGAGGATTTAAGGCATGGTGAATATCCTGATTACCAACTTCTCAGTCTGCTAGGTGGCACAATGGATAGAGCGCCGAGCTTGCAGTCAGGAAGACTGATCTATATGAGTTCGAATCCAGCCTCAGATACTTACTAACTGTGTGACCTTGGACAAGCCACTTAACTGTTTACCTCAGCTTCCTCATCTGTAAAATAAGCTGGAAAAAGAAATGGTAAGCTACTCTAGTATCTTTGCCAAGAAGACCCCAAATGGGGTCATAAAGAGTTGGAAACACCTAAAACAAACCTCACTCCTTGTATAAGACCTTATTTTTCTGGGGCAGCTAGGTGGCACAGTGGATAGAGCACCGGCCCTGAAGTTAGGAGGACCTGAGTTCAAATCCGACAGCAGACCAAATACTTGACACTTACTAGCTGTGTGACCCTGGGCAAGTCACTTAATGCCAATTGCCTAAAAGCAAAAAAAAAAAAAAAGAACTTATTTTCCTTGATGAATAGAACACAATCTCCCTGAGAGCAGGGATTCTTTTGGTTTTTGTTCCTTTCATTTTATACCAAAGACCACAAACAGTACCTTGTACTTTCACCATTTACTTATTTAGGTTATCACCTGTGATTTCATTGGCATACTGAGCTTCCAGTGAGAAAGTTCCCTCTACCAATGCAGAATTGCAATCATTCTATAAAACCTACTAGTTTTAGAGAGTTGTCCAGGGCACTGAAGGCTGAGTGGCCTATCTGTCTGCCTTGGGTCACATAGCCAGCATATGTCAAAACTTGAACCCAAGACAGATCGACTCAAAAGCTCGTCCTCTTCCCGCTCCCCTATCCTGTTTCTCATTAAGCTGCCTTGCACCTGGTGGGTACTTTGCAAATATTTGTTAAATTGACTTGAGTAATACAGTACTTCCTAGAGCCTTTCAACTCTATAAGCAGCTCTTATGGCTTTTCTGGGATCACTTGGCATTATTACATACTGTAATCCAATAACCTGAGTTCCAGCCTTGACTACTATGTGAACTTGGGCAACTCCCTCGACCTCTCTGAGCTTCAGTTTCCTCATCTGGAAAATGGTGATAATGATACAGGCATACCTCATTTTATTGTGCTTTGCTTTATTGCACTTCATAGATATTGCATTTTTTACAAATTGAAGGTTTGTATCAAGCAAGTCTATAGGCGCCATTTTTCCAACAGCGTGAGCTCACACTGTGTCTCGGTGTCACATTTTGATAATTCTCACAATATTTCAAACTTTCTCATTATTGTTACATCTGTTATGGTGATCTGTGCTCAGTGATCTTTGATGTTATATTGTAATTGTTTTAGGGGGCCAAGAGCTACACCTATATAAGATGGAGAACTTGCACTGACTGCTCCACTGACGAGCTATTCTCTACCTCTCTCCCTCTCCTAAGGCCTCCTATTCCCTGAGACCCAACAATATTAAAATTAGGCCAATTCATAACCCTACAATACCCTCTAAGTCTTCAAGTGAAAAGAAGAGTCAACCAATATTGCAAACTTCACTGCTGTTTTATTTTAAGAAACTGTCACAGCCACCCCAGCCTTCAACAACCACCATCCTGGTCAGTCAGCAGCCATCAACGCTGAAGCAAGACCTTCCACCAGCAAAAAAATTATGGCTCACTGAAGGCTTAGGTGATGGCTAGCATTTTTTAGCATTGAGGTATTTTTTAATTAAGCTATGTATACTTCTTTTTAGACATAATACTATTGCACACTTAATAGGCTACAGTATAGTGTAAACATAACTTTTAAATGCACTGGGAAACCAAAAAATTTATGTGACTCACTTTATTGTGATATTTACTTTACTACAGTGGTCTGGGACCTAACCCACAATATCTCTGAGGTATGCCTATACTCGCCTTACATAGCTCACACGGCTCTGTGGGGAAAGTGCTCTGTCAATCTTATAAGGCTTTATAATTGTAAGCTATTGTTATTGTCAGCTTTTTCTTTCTCTCTGTGCCACCTTTATTAACTTTATTTTGTTGATGGGATGAAGATACAAAATATAATAGTTGGCATGTATATAGCACTTAAGATTTTATAAAATGTGTTACACTATCTCCTTATTGCGTGAGGATTTCATGTCTTACGTGGTCTTCTGTACTTTCTTTTACAGTATATCATAAGCTCAGTTGACTGGTGTGCACTCAATTTTTCCCCAGTCGTTAACAGTGTTCCATTTTCAACTTGGATTCACACTTAACATTCTTTCTCACTTATTTAAGCCTGAAACAGTGAAGTAAGGGAGATACAGGTGAATCTGAGGACAGAAGCCCAGAAAGTGTTGTGAAAGACTAGAAGAGGCTGCCGATTCTGAATCTCAATGCTGAACGAGATAATTCTGCCTTGGCAGATGCTTCAGGTGAGGCCAGAGCCATAACTTGGATTTGCCCTGTGGTGTTGGTAAGGGGCTGCCTTCTTACTGTAATGGGTCCTTGATGCTTCTGGCCCTATATCAAGAGGTACTTTGACAGCTAACATGACCATCCTAGTCTCTTGACCACCCAAAGGTTTCAATCTCCATGGATGGAAGCCCTTTCCAGGGAGTACCTCTGCAGAAACTCCTTCATTTCTACCTCCTTCCTAGGTTAAGGTACCAGAAACTATTGGCCATGCTATAGGGGGTGCAGTGAGACTCTTGGGGGAGGGGGCTGGACCCTCTCTCCAAGCACAGGACAGAATGTTCTCTGAACTGAACCCCCAAACTAAATTTGCTCTTGACACAGAAGGCAGAGAGGAAGAAAACAACGTTCCTGTAATACTTCATAGCTTTCAGATTCACTGATTTTTAGCTATGGAAAAATAGTACAGGAATCATACTTCCCATATGTCAAGGAAAATGCATTAACTCCCATTGAAAATTGGATATCTTTCATTGTGGCATATGGAAAGAGTGCCACCTTTCAAGTCAAGGATGAGTATCCAAATCTAGCTATGTTACTATCTGTACGACCTGGGGTGTGTCAATTCTTTCTAGGTCTCATTCACCTCATCTATAAAATGAAGGTGCTGGATTAAAAGACTCCTCTGGTCTCTTCCAGTTCTAAATCTGTTTTTATGACTCCATGATTGTTATAGATGGCCTTATAAAATACAGTGCATACATGAGACTAGGTTTGGGAAATAGGGAGCCTAGTGTGATTATTTTTAAAAAAATTTAATTCAGGAAACATATATACATATATACATGCATACATATGTGTATGTATGTGTATGTATGTATATGTGTATATATATTTCCTGAATCAAATTGAATAAATTAAATTAAATAAATACATGTGTATGTGTGTGTGTACGTGTGTATATTTCCTCTGAATACATTTTCTTTCTCTTTTTCCAGTGAGGTTATTCTTAAAGACCCTACCAGCTAAGAGCTATGACCCAATTGTGATTCCCAGAGTTATTCTTAAGCCCAGAGAGTTAGCAGTCATCTATGTAGCCTTATTTGAGGGATGCCAAAAGGCCTTCTCACTATCTCTCATTTCTTTCTACTGAGTTATTCCCTCACTCTCAAACCAATCTATAAATCAGTCAACCAATAAACATTTACTAAATGCCTACTCTGTGCTGGGCCCTCTGGGGATATGAAAACAAAAATAAAAGTCTGTATTCTTAAGTAGCTTAGTCTAAATAGGGAGACAGCACGTATATAACATATTTAGAAACATACAAAATGGATACATTTTTAGGGAGAAAGGCACTACTGATTGGGGAGTCATTATAGAAACAATAGAAAAATCCTATTAGCTTGTACAGATGAGGTTGGAGAGAAGCCAAACGGAATTATTAAAATATCTTAAATTATAGATTAAAAAAAGAAATAAAGCTTTATTACTTTAATATTTTCAAGTACAGGGCAAAATATGTTTTGAACAGCATCATTCTTAGAATAAATAATTGAGCTCATTTCTCAATTCAATCAATAATCACTTGTCAAATATCTACTACAGTATATACAAGGCACTGTGC